AGAGGGCGAAAAAAATAAAAAAAAATAAAAAATAAAATTTGTTTTCTTATTTGGCAAATAGTTTTGCCAAAAAAAAAATTCCAGAAGAAAATAAAAATAAAAATTGATTGGTGAATGTAAACAGTGTAGTAATGAGATGGTTAAAAGCTTTAAGTTTATCTAATTTGGGAGAAATATACATATCTTTTTTTTGGAGATTTCGGCGGGTGTAATAAAAATAAAGAAAAATTTTCATCATTGGAGCTAAATCCTTATTGGGAATAGTGTAATTAATTACATTCTGAAATGTCACAGAAGAGCTTAAAACATATCTTGGTACGCTGACCCCCTTCCAAGTTTTGGGATGGTTTGCTGCTAGTTTTCAGGTTTCCCCAGAATGTATACTACAGTACCACTACTGGATCTGGGTGAGGTAGATGCGTATCTCCCTGTGAAAGTGTCAGTCAGTTGTTTCAAACCTAGTGGATGAACTTGCAGAATCTGATATTTGGCAACAAAGTACATCTCTGTGGCTCAGTCAACTTCATTACGTTTACGTACCTGTGTTTTCTCCACAGACGCGCTACGCCTATCCATCATGGGACTGATCTCCATGTTCTTTTCACGCTCTAAATCTCCCTGAGAGAAGAATTCCTCCATAATCTGGTCTGTCCACTGGCGATACGTTGAGAGCACCTTCGTTGGATTTGCTAGGTCGGCGCAGTGGATCACATTTTTGAGAACCTTTTAACAACAAAATAATGTGATAAAATTCAGATTAGCATTTTAAAACCAATCTAACTTAAAAACTTAAAGCTGTGGCATATAAAATAGCTTCCAATACTTCTCCTACATCAGCTACACAAAACAACCTCAAAGCTTCAACTGCTGAAAGCCATGTTAAAACATACAATAAAATTATAGTCTTTCAGAGCACGGATTGGCTTGGATTTCCTTGGCGTGAATTGAACGAAACATTACCCACGTTGGCGTACAGCATTTACGGTAATGGGTTACATTTTGAAAAATACAAAATAACTAAGAAACAACATAATCAAGTCAATTATACGAAGAACACTTAATCTAGAAAATGACATAAAAAATGGAAGCAAAGCTAAGCATCTATTGTCGAATAAAGCCATTAAAAGCACACATCACACACATGAACACAAGATGCTCTAAATATCATGAGGCTTATAGGAGTGGAGTTGTTTTGGTCAAGAAAGAAAATCCAGCAATACTGACAGGAATTGAGCCTAGTACCCTGGGATTGGAAGTATCTTAACCACCAAGCTATTCAACTCCACTTGTAAATAAAAATGGGAGGATTTATAATGTAGTGTATGTGGAGAAACAAACCTGTATTCTATCTGTATAGTTGTCCAGCAGTAAAACACCGGATCCTGCCACCTTCTTTGTCTCTACCATAGTTTTCAAGTCTGCCAACAGACTCATATGTTTTGACATGTCTGTTGCTAACACCTAGAATTATGTGTACAAAAAAAAAAAAAA